CCAGATGAAGGACCTGGCATTTGTCCCTGTTGAACCTCATATGGTTTTGTTCAGTCATGGAAAAAGTTTATGAAAAATGTAACTAGTTAAAATTTAGCCTTAAAATTAACTTGAGTTAAGTTAAAAGTTAATTTTCAACTAGTTAAAAGGTAAATTAAAAAAAGAGAGCAGCTAGTTAAAAGTTGAGATGATTCATGAAAAATGCGTTAAACATGGTGAATTGCCTCTTAGCATTATTTTTCATTTTTGAATGCAATGAATGGCTTTCTTTTCCATAAGCCCACAGAAGCATGCTAATTTATTCAGAACTCACCCTGCTTTACCTGAAAACAATGTTATTCTTGTCATACAGTTTTCAGAATAACAATTTATCAATATCTATGTAACGTTAGATCCTTCTCACCCTCTCCATGTGAAGTACTTTGTAAAAGTCAATGCATCATATAGGTAATACCAGAATAACAGAAAGGAGATATTCATAGCCAGGTAACAAACGAAAGCTGTTTCCACAGAAAACCTCTGTTGTTACAGTTTTTATTGCTCAAAAGGTAACAAAAGGGTATGAAATACATCTGACTTAGAAATAATGAAAGTGTCTGAAAATCCAAAATTAGAGTGAAATGAGAAAATCAGTTTAAATAAGAAAAAGAATGTTCCGCTGCATAGCAGAAACTGTTTAAACAGGCTTATTGAACTTTGGGAAAAGCTTCATTTCAAGATTTACATCTGACAATTTTCCTCTTCTGTCTTGCAAAACTAAGCACCCACTACTGAACAATCACTCTACATGGGCAGATGAGGGAAAGCTTGTGTTATAACAGATGACTAGTTTTTTCATAGTAGGTGACATCTCAGATACGTTTCTCACAGATGAGAAGTAATGCTCAACTTCTGGGGCCCGGGGCTGCTGGTTCTGATCTTCATTAAAATTAAAAAGTGATCATCTGCTTTACCCTCACTACTTGCTCCCACTCTTACTGGGATCAGTGTCTCTGCTTGCTTGTTCCCTCTCCTGCAGCCAGCGGGCTGCCCTGTTGATTTCTGCAAATGCACAGAAAATGCCAGCAAGAACTAAGGAACTCTGGGACTTGTAGCTCTTAAGAGACCATCTTTCATAGGAAGGCACACTACTTTTTGTCTCTCCAACAAGAAGTCCTAAAGTTTCAATAAAGAAATATCGTTCCATGCAAGTCCTACAGCACAGTCATCAGGAAAAACTCTGGGAAAGCTGGATTTCAATTTTTTTTTTAAACTTTTAACTTTTATACTTTAAAAAAAGTTAAGTTAACTCTTTTTCTTTAACTAGCTCAAGTTAAAAGTTGACAGCTGAAAAAATTAACTAGTTAAAGAAATGACTAACTTTTAACTTTAACTTTTTTAACTAGTTAATTCCCATGACTGGTTTTGTTTAGCCCATAGGACCAGCCTGTCAAGGTCTTCCTGAATCCTTGGCCTGTCCTCTGATGTGCCCGCTTGTCCCCACAGCTTGGTATAATCCGCAAATGTAATTGCACTTTTCACTCCCTCATCCAGGTCATCAATAAAGATGATAAAGAGCACAGACCCAAGCACTAACCCCTGGGGTACACCACTGGAGATGGCCTTCCAGGATGAGGCCGCCCTGTCAATTATGACTCGCTGGGATCAGCCACTGATCCAGTTCCCAACCTACCTCACTGTAGCCTAGTTTAGGCCAGTACTCTCCAACTTAACTAAACGGATTTCATGGGACAAAGGCCTTGCTGAAATCTAGGTAGATGACATCCACCTCCTGTCCCACGTCCAGGCGGTTAGTTATCTGGTCATAAAAGGACACTAGGTAGGCATGACCTCCCCTCTACAAAGCCATCCTGGTTACTTCTCAGTACCCCACCAGATGCAAGCTTGTGGTTGATGGCCTCCTTAAAAATTTTTTCAAAGATCTTCCCCAGGACCAAAGTCAGACTAACTGGCCTATAGTTGGCAGGGTTATCCCTCTTTCCCTTCTTAAATATGGGAACCACATCCTCCTTTTTTCTAGTCATTAGGGACAACTCCCGAGTTCCACATCTCCTTGAATGGCCCTGCCAGAGGCATTGCTGAGTTTGGCCAGCTCTTTCAGCACTCTCAAGTAAAGGTTGTCTGGACCAGCTGACTTGAAAACATCCAAATGATCTAAGAGTGGCTTCACCTGTTCTGGACTGATTTTATGAGGACCACTGTAATTGCCATATTCCCTGCACCCCTGGTCTAGTGATCAGTTCTTGCCTGGTTTCAGGAAAATGGATGTAAAGTAATTATTAAGGAGCTTTGCCTTTTCACAGGGGTCAGCTGTGGGCTTCCTGTCTGTTCAGTAGGGGTGCCACAGTGGAGCTTGATTTTTTTTTCCTTCTTCTTGCTTCCTATGTACCTATAGAAGGATTTTTTTGTTATCTTTAATATCAGTTGCCAGCTTGATATTTTCCATGGATGCCTTGGCTTGCCTTGTCCCATGCCTGCAAACCCAGGTTTCATGATTGTACTCTTTTTCTGGACCCAAGTCCATTTTTCCATTGCATGTAAGCTTCTTTTTTCTTTTTGAGAAGTTCTCTAATGTCTCTGAGCCAGGCAGGTCTCTTGGACCCTCTCTCTCTGTTTGATTGCATGGGAATGGACTCTTTTTGAGCAGTAAGAATAGCTTCCCTGAGGAAGTGCCATCCTTCATGAGCTCCCAAGTCATCCAGTCGCTGGTTGTGAAGGACCTTTCCAACGAGACTCCTAAGTTTTAGCAAAGTCTGCCTGTCTGAAGTCTAGGACTTTTATTCTGCTGGTAGAGTTCCCAGCCTTTCAGTGGATGGTGAATCAGATCAGATCATGATTGCTGTCACCCAGAAGCACCTCCAATCTTCAGGTTGCTTACCATGTCTTTCCCTTTTGCTTGAGGGGGCCCATGCCCAGCTGTTCTTGGTCAGCCCAGGCCCATGTAGTAAGGCCTCAGTCTGACTGGCTGGCATCATGCTGGCTGGAGGAATTGCACTGATTGGCCAGGAGCCTGGAGGAGATGGGCCAAAGAAGATGGGGATGCACCAAAATTCAAGGGAAGAGCCCACATGTTCCCCCCCATCACTGTTCGAAAGGAGGATCTTCTATCACAGATGCCACCAGACCACAGCCTATGACAGAAACCTTATGCAGGGCAGTGCAGGGCAGGTGCAGAAAAGAGTGGGAAGTGTGGCAAAGCTGGGCAGGAGAACATCCAGAAGAGCTGTACAAAAACAGTGGGCCAATGCTGTGCAACCAGCAGTGCCCCAGAGAGCAGTGAGCTGGAGTGCAGGGCCTGTGCTGAGCCACTTCAGGCCAGCCCAAATAGCACAGTGTCTTGCAAGGGATGCAGGAAAGAGGGGCCTGCAAACAAGGTGCAGCTTTCCAGCAGGTGTAGAGAACCCACACAAGGGCAGTTAGAAGTGGTGCCCCAAGGCACCCTGGACTGAAATAGCTCCCCAGTAGGGGCATCGGCTAATGCCAAGACCTAATCAACTAGCCTGAGCAATTTAAGTTCAGCAACATTTTTATGCTGTAATCCTTTAAAGTGAAGGTATAGGTGCTGTCCTGAGCAAGACTGAACTACATGTAGTGCCTACACGAAGAATTAGGTGGAGACCAGACTTACCATCAAAGTCCAACAGCAACACTTGTGCAGGAAGGGGTAGGGTGTGTAGGGGAGGAGCCCCACAGAAGACCAGTGCAGAACCTATCACACTAATACCATGCAGTTACCATAGGTACCACCTCTCCATTATTAACCATTCATCTTATAGAAACAACAAGTCATGGCAAGTGAGAAGACAGGTGCATCACGACCCGGTGAACGGGACTTACACATCACCCACCAGTGGCTTCTCTGGGTGTGTACCTGTCACAAATTAAATTCACTGCCACTTTGCATCATCATCACTTTATGAAGTGGCCTTTGTGGAAGTGAGGATCTGGCCAATGTGAGTTTGAAATACACATTTTCCTTCTTTTATGTGAAAAATGGCTTGGAATATGTAAAAGACCTCATAGATGATCCATTTTGTCCACTGCTACTACTGGACTGTGCCCTGTTTGATAATATGCAGCACTTACATTGTGTTATTTTAAGAGTAAAGTACTGTATAAATATTAATTAATCTTCACAACATTGTGAGAGGCAGATGGGGACTAACTCAATTTTCATATGGGGAAAACCTGAAGCTTGGAGGATTTATGTGACTTGTCCAAGGTTAGACACGGAGTAAAGAATTTGGGATTAAAAAAAAAATGAAGGGTTTCTCATTTGCCAGAGAAGGTACAGCCTAGTAACTCAAAGAACTGTCAGAATGATCTCAAAAGAGAACATCAGAAATCTGTTAACCCTTACAATTCAATTTCACCTGCAGGCCGGATCAGCTGAGGATCTGGTCCCAAGGGACCTGTTCTGTTATGTACTTAAAATATAAAATAAGGGCAGTAAACATGGACAAATATTAACTTTGTTTTAAATGGAGACCAAGTAAAAAGCAGATGACATGAAAGAGATCTTACCTGTGGGTATGGACAAATGATCAAGATGAAGTGCATTAACAGGGCATGATATTGGCTACATTGTTGTGGTTTAATCAGTCAGTTACCACTTGAAAATTGTAGGCACATAAACAGTTACTGAGAGTAGCTGTTGCCAGGTAAATCTCTACCCCCATACTAAGTTGCTTTAACTTGGCTGCTTTTCCATACCCCTCAATTGTACTAATATTGACAGTATCCTCATTGTACAAAATCATATATAACATTATATTATGTAATTATACATAATTTTGTATTTAAATTCACTCACTTTTTAATACAGAAAAAAAATCAATTTTTAAAAAAATAAAAGCTTAATTATTATATAATGTCATCAACTGTTTGCTGGAGAATGTGTTTACAAAATAGTTTGGTCTCCACTGTGTGGTCATTTACCTTTGCACTTCTGTTGTGAGACTGAGAGAATTTTGTGCAGCTCCCAGTTTTTAAAAGTCACCTATATATTTCAGATTATTTTTTAATCACTTTCTTTTTAAAAGAAGAAAAATAGAAAAGAAAAGAGACTTGTTTGTATTATACTTTACTGTCCAGATATATAAACCCATTGATAGTATTTTGAAATACTTGATGTATGTATTTAAATAACCAGTATTTTTTGCCTTACAACATAAATGTGTGGAGGACATTCATAAGTTTCAGTCTAGAAAAGGACTTGCTAGAATTGAAGAGTTTTGCATGGGTAGCCACTAAATCAATAGGCCTGGAAATTGATTAATTCTTCTGATATCAGGGTTTATGTACACTTTACTTCATTTAAAAAACAAGAGGAGAACAATTTGCTACTCTGCAAATAACCTGTTTTCCTTCTGAAGTCTGTAAACCACTAACAATAATCTGCACAGCAATTAATGAATTTCACCTTTTTCATATGGTGGGAAAATATTAATATATTCATTAGAATTTGGAGAAACTGAGACATGAGAAGTAAAATGATATGCTCAGTTTCATACACAAAATAAGT